ACATATTTTAAAAAAAAAAACAAGAGAGAGAGTACAGATTACTGGAATTTTTTTAATAATTGAATTAACTCGAGTGATTTATTTTAAGTAAAATAAATATTTTTTAATTTTTATTAAGTTAACTATGTTTAACTAAGTCATCATCCAGCTTATATAAATTTTATTTGATTTAATTAAAAAATTAATTTAAGTTTATGTTGGATTTTAATCATGAGATCTTTAAATAAATTTTATTTTATTGAATTAAAAATTTAATTCAAGTTAAAGTTAGATTTAGAATCATGAGATGTTCGAATCAATGTTGAAATAGAATCAAAAGATTTGAATATGGGAGTGTTTTTTTTAATTATTTGGAAATATAATTAAGAAAACACTGTAGCTTGACGCGTCGCTAATGGTGGAATAGAAGGTCGCTGGAAGTTAGCGTCCGAAATTTCTATGCCACGCGTTATAGATTTGGGAAGTGACGGCATTGAAAGAGACCATGCCATGCAAAAACACACAAAACAATTTTGGGATCTTTGAATTAAAATCTGAATTTCCAATTGAATTGGTCTAAAAGAATTTGAATATTTAATCCTGAATTCAATTCAATTTATATTCAAGATTAATCTGTCTTACACGGTTACTTTTGTCTTAATCTATGTTCTTTCTAACATTAACATTAAGTTCTTTATATTTTATTATTAATTTTCTTCAAAGTTATTAAACATGGTATGATTTATTTAAATTACAGGGCAATACGAGTTAATTTAAATTAATTTAATATATTATTATATTAATTATTTTTTAAAAAATAAAATAAAATAATTTTTAATTTTTTTTAAAAAATCAAAGTGGAATTTGACCAAGCTTATTAAATCTTGAATTGACCTATCAAGTTGATTGAACTTGACATGAGAAAGAAATATTTTTCACATTTAATTCTCATTTAACTCAAAACTCAATCCAATTTAAATTCTGCTTTGCATGTTTTGCTTGTTAGTCAAGTTTAGATTTTTTTTTATTCATCCAAAGGCAATGATCTAAAATTAAAACACATAACTGTAAATTATATCTCTCTTTATATTTTGAGGTCATTTTTTTAAAAGGATATTAATTAGATATGGCATTTTCTTGCTGTGTAGCTATGGGGTAGCACAAACAAATTAATCAAGTTCAGAATAATTTGTGTTTATGATAATCTTTCCACACTATATGGCAATATCGAGCAACAATTGTTACCATGCTTTGAAAATATGAAAATTAATGTGAATGAGTTGTATGTTCTAGAGGATTGATTTGTAGATGATATATAACACGATATATAACACCCATTTCCTCACAAACACAGCACAAATTATCATCCATTTCCCCATTTATCATCACAAACAATATCAAGGATTGAGTTCGAGATCTTAATTTTGATGGGAATTTCTGGTAGTTAAATCACAATTAATTCATTACCAAGCAGGAACACGAGTTGATCTCATATTGCATATTGAAGCAATGGAATGAAATGGCTGTTTCAATTGATAGCCAAGCTATCCAGCCACCAAGTACCAGGTACCGTGGATGCTCAGGAAAGTAGAGGTCTACGTCCATGCATGGTGGCCCATTCAATTTAAAGCGACTACACATATTTCAACATCTCATGTTATCATCTCGAATAGAGACCATGCATGCTCTAAAAGATCTCCCTCTTGATTTCCACAGGTTTCACGCGTGTTCACCTACTTCTAATTGTTAGTTTCGTACAGTGAACAAAAACTGTGATCATGAAATGTTGAGAGGAAGGGGAAGAGCCTCTCGATCGTTGGTTCCTCCAAGTCAAGCATTTCACTATATATCTTCGTCATTTTCATTATTTTGCATGTATGAACCAGTCAATGCAACGTGGAAATGATGCTGCGTAACAAACTGTTGAGGAGAAATCGATCTCGTGAATGATACCAATGCCATGCTTATGATCTTATTCACATTCGCGAGCTTCATGTTAGGAGTCTAGTTCACGGCTCGATCGTAATTTGTTGTGTGTGTGTTGCTGTTTTTCTTAATTTCATCATTTGAATCGACATGGGTGATAAGTGAGTATGCTTTCCATCTTGTTAATCGTTATTTAACTCATTCAACATGACACATATAGACATGTAGTTTTTTAGTTCTTGGATTGATAATTGGCTTTATGACAAGTAAAATGAACTTAATTTTAGAGTGTAAAATAATATTGATCCCAATTCCCATAATCCCACATATCCAATTAAAATCTTTAACTTTTAAATACTAACGTATACTATATTATTTCTTTTTATTAAGAAAAATAAAGCTGTTTTGTGCTATTTTTATTAAGCACAATCCTAGCTTTAAGTTATTTCAACTTCTTTTTATCATAAACTAACTATTTGTAAAAAAATATAAAAATTACTTTTCATAAATCATGCTAAACGAACTCTAAACTCTCTTCAATTTTTTTTTTGAATTCGAGGAAACTCTATCTTTCAGAAAACGTATTTTATAGGTGTAGGTGAGGGAGTAAAATCTCGGCTGTTCTAAACTCTTACGAGAAATGCATGCCTTAACTCAAACTCGAGACCTGCTGTGCAGAACTCAAACCCTTTGTGGTCATATCACATCCCGACTCTTCAAATTTGGTTACATGCCAGTCATCCTTGCTAAAATTAATTAAGAAAATTATGAGAAGTTATTGTTTTTTAAAACCTAGCTAGTTAATTATGCTATTTTTTTTCATGGGAAGAGCCAACGAATTTGGAGCTACGTAATTAAAGATAAATCAATTTTATTACATTATATTGATAAAATTAAAGTTATTAATTCTCAAAATTTGCTATTTTAAGAAAAATAGATCTATAACCATGGCTCAAGCCAACTTACACCCTAACTTATTGTATTTTATATCTAAAGACATGTTATCTCAAGAGGTTAACACCATGGTTAATTAAGAAGATAAGCTCATTTTCTTGACTTTTTTAGAGCTCAAACTTTGAGATTAATACTTAGAAAAAATTGTATATATTCCTCTAAATATTTACTACATCCATGCAAATAGTTGCGGCTTTAAGGTCATCTAGAAAGAGAATGGATCACGCGGAAGATAATACGAGAATTGATTTTTACTTCGCATGAATTAATACTGAGGGCATCAAACAGCAACACACAAAACTTGAGGTCTAGAAGACATTAATTGAATATTAGGAGGCCGTTGATTATTCCACTATAAAAGCAGAGAATGTCACCGGTGCAGTCTTGTCCTTGTCGGTCCTCCTGAGCTCATGGGACTTTGATTTGCTGTCCATGAAGAATATATATAAAGTTCAACTATAATATTGGAGAATATTTTTAGCATGTTTGATTTCGACGGTCTTGTGGGACCTATATTTCCCATGCTGGCTAGGTGAATTTAGACCCCGACAATGGTGTTAGGTCGACCCGCCAAGTTTCGGGTTTTACAACTGTGGTCAATAATCGGTGGTCATGGTTTATGAGTCAAGTGGCCGGAGATGGAGTTACCGAAGTTTCTGTGCAGTTTCTGGGTGTTATAATTTTCTCTATTGTATTTTCTAGGAAAATCCCATCGGAAAATTCTTGGAATCTGCGACTCTCTTGATACACTGCACTTCTTCTTCTTCTTCTTCTTTTCTTTTCCTTGTGTGTTGTAGACCTTCTGCTGGTGTTGCTCTCAGTTGCGATTGGTTTTTAAAAATTTTAATTTTTTTCATTTAAAATAATTTTATTTTTATATTATTTTACTATGCAATATTTAAAAATTGGAAACATAGATGTGATCTCAGCAAATGTAATGCTGATCTCTGATGCTTTCTTGGGGCTTAGGTTTTTGTCTGTTATGAGAAATTAATTAATTATAGGCCCACGATTTAAAATTCGAAGTAGTTAAGGTTAGGCTTCGAGAAGGTGAAGAACAGCTAGGGTTTACGTTCAACCCCTGCAAGGGTCAACAGAAACTAGGGCATAGAGTCCATGAAGGTGTTGCTAACAGCTGACCCAGTTGAAAAACCCGTAACAGGCCTGGAATTGCATGTTATCTCAGGGCCGAAAGCCCATAAAGGGTAGCTAACGCTTGATCCAGTTGAAACTCTATTAAATATTGGTGTTGGGTTGCTATATTGAAATATATAGAAATAAAATTGATAAAAAAATAATTAGGACACAGGGATATATCTTTATGGGTGTTTTTTTTTTCCTTAAAAAATTACTGAAAATATATTATAATAAATATATATATATATATATATATGTATCTAAATGTTCATTTTTTAACTAAACATACTTTTATTTATTTTAAAACATTGATCGTATATAATTTATATATCTTTATTATAATTTCAAGACGGCATGAATGTATCTCGGTTTTGAGGTAATTATTTGGGGTATAAGTTCAGAAAAATTTGGAAAAATTAACTTTTCATAAATATCCTAATCATTAAAACAATAATAAAAATCATCAAACCATTAAAGATATTCATAATTTTTATGTTCTTGATATTGACAACAGTTATATCTAACTATATAAAGTGTATTATCTGAATATAAAATCAAAAGGTAATTTAAAACAATTTCTCTACAAAATTAGCTTCTTTTTAGTTTTAGTAATAAAGGATTTTTTTTCAACCAATTTTCGCATGAAGAGTCTAATAAATCTCACTATGAACGTATCATTCAGGTGTAAACTAATATATTTATAAAATATTATTTTTTTGGTATTTTTTAAAATTAAATTTTAAAGAATACCAATGAAGAAAATAAATTTATGTATCAACCAAAATAAATTTTAAAATAAAATAAAATAATAAAAAATATTTAATTTTCAAATATTAGAGTTTTTTTTTTATATATATTAAAAATAGATTGTGATTAAGTTATTACCTAACACAAACATCATGTACTTATCTCTACCCTTCCTCTTTC